CAGTGGCGGAGCAGGTGCCTGAAGATGAAGTGTGTACCTTAAAACATGAGAACAGTCGTTAGGTGGGACTAGTTCATCCTACATTGGCTGGGACAGGAGAGGGGAATTCGTTACGCTGTGAAAGCAGCTTTTGTGGGAAGCAGATTAATATTTATGGAACTGAAAAAAGCTCACTGGAAAACCTTTCCTTCCCCTTGCCTTCTTCCCTCCATGCTGCTCTCCTACAAGCACCTTTGACAGCCCTGTGCACACTGGGTGCTCTGGCATTAAAAGTTCATGTTTCACATATAAAAAGAAGGCTTTAAGACAAGCTTTTGGATTTAAAACACCCACAGTTTTCTCATGGTCTGAATTTGGATTGGCCCTAACAAGGAATCAAGAGCTGCCACAGAAGCTGGCTTGTGACTGATGTATTCATTTTAGACTCTCAGCATTTGAATTGTTCTGATTCCTGACACCGTTAAGGAACATCTCTGTTTCTGGATATGTTGGCTTGCTGGTGAGGCTAGGGCTTGTGTGGCCATGAGGATGTGATTGTGTTAGGCTTAAGAGAGTAGTTATCTGATCTGACCCGATAACCTCGTTTCTGCAAACCTACTTTTCAGTCTCTGTAAGTCTGTCATTCTTTCAATTAAACCAGCAACGAAACAGCAGACTTCCCCAGAAGACTTACTGCGCTTTCAGTATGTCTCTCTCTTCCTGAAACTGCCAAGCCTAGTATATGCAGAAGAATGTTCATGGGAAGCATCTCCTCTATCTTCTTGATGTCATCCATTCAAGCTAAACACCCCATCGGCTTGTGTGTGGCTCTAATATAACTGAGTAGGAAAAATGTACTGGAAGGTTATTTGGGAATACCATGTTTCCTTCTTTAAGCTTTCGATTGAATCTGCATCTATTCGCTGTTCTGAGATCAGCCAGGTAGGATTAAAAGATTTCACTCGCCTGCAGAAGGGAATAGACATTACACATTCTGTGTGTGAAAATGGCATTTGCATTGCCATTTAGAGTTAAATATTTTTACGTACTATCTCTGTTTTATTGTCATTGCTTTAATTACAGCTAATTGCAATTGAAGCATCTACAGTTCTGGTCTCAAGAGGAGCCCAGGGTGTTAGAGGCTTACACAGACCTAATGCATCTACTTTGCAAAGGCCCTTCCTTCAGACAACTCAGCTGCTGCTGTGCATTTGTGATGGTCCTTTTTCACCTGACCTGGAGCAGCCCTTACTGCTTCCTCTGGTTTTCCTAATAATGCTGTCTGGGGAATTATTTAGAAGATCTTGGGTGAGATGTCCTGTCCCATTTTGGGGAGGAAAGCGCACAGCCCTTCTGGAGTCTTCAAACTGATGCTAGTCTGTTTCTTGCTGCACTCCTGCTTTTTTGAGAAGGCAGGTAGGACTACAGTTTATGTTTCTCTTTCTTGCTGTTTGGTAGGTCTGTTTTTGCTGACTTTCCTCTCCACACAGTTTATCTTCAGGTAGATGGGAGAAGCTAAGAGGAGAAGTGCAGGAGGAAAAATGTTGTGTTTGGTCCCCACTACTTTGGTTTCTCTGATGTCAACATGCTGGGACTAGCATTCCCCAGTTATCTCTGTGACTGTGAAACCAGGAGCTTTCCTGACACCTCACAGCCTCCCTAGTATCTTAAAAAAACCCAAACCACTGAGTTATGTGTCTGAATGGCTGGCGAGTATGTGTACTGCAGGGGCAGCCTGCTTGCTCTGAAAGCAGGCATGAGCAGTGTGTGAGAGACTCCCAGAGCTATGCCAGAGTGGGAGGAAATCTCTGAAGGCTCCCCTAGATTTCAAGCATATGAGCAGGGAGGTGTGATTTGAAAGAGAAAAATAGCAGACATTTTTTGGAGCAAAAGCCTCCTGTTTCTCCTGCCAAAGCAGGTTTTGAGGTGGGCTTTAGACGGTAAAATTCGGATTAAACTCAATATAAAAAAGACTGTCCTGAGCCACTTGCGGGCTAGCCCTGATGGAGATATCAGCTCCTCCATCTTGTAGCCAAGTTCTTGACAGTTTATATTCATTCTCTTGGGAAACTGTCTCGTTATCAACAACACTCATTAGCATTTTCATTTGTAATACTGGATGAAGGCTGAAAATATCCTGGGCTCCATGAAAACAAATTGAAAACAAATCAAAACCAAAACATCATCCCCTCCATTCTTCTTTCAGAAGTGCAATGCATCAAGGCAGAGTCACTCAGATGCCTCTCAGCTGTGCTACTTTACCATACAGCTTCCCTGAACTGGACCAATTCATCCTGTGGAAGGGTGAGCCTTGGAGGACATGACTCCAAGGCTTTGTAGCTACCTTGTAGAGCACAGCCAGCAAGTGGAAGTGCTCTCTTCTGGGAAGAGAGGAGGTTAAACCAGTACTGTTGGCCAGACCGAGTGTCCAAGTCTCCCCTAGTGAAGAGAGACGAGCCCAGGCAGAGAAGGGAGGAGTGTCATGTCCCATACGATGTTTTTCTGGGAAAGAAGCAAACTAAAACACAACTAGCAGGTGTTTTAGATCCATCTTTGAGGTGTAAACTAATGGCTGAGAGGGGAGGTTATGTGAAGAGTGGCCAGTGCCAGAAATTTGAGAAGTCCTGCCCCTCAGAATGGCTCTGCCTGAGACTTTTGCTTGCTGCCTCTTACAGATGATTCGTGTGCATCTGGGAGGCTGTGCTGTTTGCAAGAAAAAGCCTCTGAAATAACAGAAAAGGATGTCCTATATGATGAGTGCAAGGAGGGAAGAATCCCAGCTCTCAGAGATATGTAGCCTTTAAGATGTTTGAAAGCAATGATGTTTCATAAAGGAGAATCTTTGAATAAGCTCTGAGCAGTTATTGTTTCTGGTCTTATAGATGACCCAGGAATGTGATGTTTTTACTGGCACTCAGTGAGACAGCTCTTGGTTGGGAGCTCTCCAAGGCTCCTGGCATGGCTTCGGCATTCCTGCAGATTTGACACAACGATTTTAACCAAAATCCCACATGCTTGATATAATCACTCCGTGCCTTTAGAAAGGGTTTTATACCTAATATGGACAAAAAAGGGCTCTGCTTTTTCAGAGATGTGACGTGTAGTGAGCAGGTTTGGATCCAGAAATAGGCTCATCTGTATTCACTTAGCTTTGGTATTTTTTTGTGGTCTTTATTATAACAGACAGGCACCTGCTGGCTGTCCAAGTCTAGATAGCAATATTCAGATTTAAAAAGCACAGCTACGCCTCAGTTTCTCTTGATTGACATCTGTGTGGCATGTAAATGTCAGACACACTGTGGAGGAGTTAATCCTTGTATGAGCAGAGTCTACTGAGACAAAGATAAAAATATACTAGCCTTCTATGTGGATACAGAGGAGATGATCAGCCACTTTGGCTAAATGTACAAGTGGGCAGAAGCCGATGGAAAGGGTGACTGAGCTCCTTTATCACAGAGTCCTTATTAATGGAGATGAATTTGTCACTGCTGCATATCAATAACGTACAGCGGCTCAAAGGGGCTAAGTGATGCCAAGTGATTGTTTTACAGCCACTTCTCACGCCGTACTGCACAAGCACAGCTGACTCCACGAGATGCAAGGAAGTGGGCAGCCTCGCCTGTTGTCTCAGACCCCACTTTCAGCTTTTGCTGCCGGGGTGCTGAGGCTTGCTGGCGTACCTGCAATCGTTCTGTGCCGTGGTGGACTTAGCTCCTGGACGACGCAGCGTCAGGACTTCTTTGCACTGTATCTTGGGACAACATGTGACTGCATCTCAAGTCAGCAAACTGCCTTGTTAAAATAACAGCCCCTAGGAAGGATTTGCCTGCTG